GGGATAATGTTCTGCAGGTTTTTAGAAACCTGGCTATAATGAAGAAGAGTGTATAAAGTAAAGATCACCAACACATTTGTAAATGTGGTATAATTAACACTGCGGTCTACGTGTTGGCTTTTAATTTATCCTGTCCAAGTATTTGAAACCTGACAACTTTGCTGAAATGAATACTAAATATAGATGGTAACAGCATTCTGCTTCAGAGCTGAGCTTGTAGCTCCAGTTAAGACATTCAAGTGGATCTGGGGAAGAAGACAAAGGAACAACGTTGCTGTTTTATGCAGTTTTCCAGCATTTTATTGTGAAAGAAAAAAAAAGTTTAATTGGGGATGGTTTAGATGTGAGTAAAATTCAGTTCTCTAAGCCTTTAAATCTGTTAAGAAATTATTCTTTGATGAACTGAAGTATCAATTTGTTAATTGGTAGCTTTTGCATGTTAAAGTCATTCATGCGACAGATGATAGTAGTAACTTAATAAGTACTGAGTCCTCTGTAAAGAAAGCTGCCATTTTCTACCTCTAGTCAATCTGAAAGAAATAAATGGATATTGCATTATGTTTTTAATTGTTCATAAATTATAAGTGTTTAAGAAGTGAGCTTTAGGTATTTCAGATGATATTTAAAATCAATCACCATATATTTATATTAGATAAATTAGATACTGTATATTAGAGCTAGATTAAGTAGAATCCTATTTCCTAATTTTTGCTTCTTGCCTCTTGGAAAAAGAGAGTACCCACCTTCATTAAAATATCAAAGGACATAAACACTGGTGGTAAATATTTAGAGTGCTGCAGAACATATTTTCAAATGCTGTCTGACCTTCTAGATGTTGAGCTTATCATGAATGGCTTCCAAAGGGACAATCCCAAAATAGCAATAATGACGTGGCTGTTGAATGTTATTCCTTTCCAACACATGATATTTTCCCAAAGGAACAATAACCCATCTGTTCTGAATTCAATCAGTGTTGCATTCATATTTTTCTAATCAACATGACCTGTCCTTTGCAGTTGGAATCTCTCATTGTAGTCCTCAATAGTTGGAACAGAATGAATGTTTTTGTGGGTTTCATGATTTAGTGATGTTTGAAAGAGTCCTGTTCCTCCAGCTTTCTCTAAAGAATTGAAGGTTTAATTGAATTTAAAAGCAGTCTATGGTTTAGTTCTAAGACTGACAGCAAATAAGCAATCAAAAGGAATCAAGAAGCAGCAGTAAGTACTGTAAAATTCATGTATAGTATTTGTGTAGCACAGGCTGAATGAAGCAGTATAGCCCAATGCAATTTTGCAGCCGTGCAATGCAGCTGAGGGAAAAGCATAGCTTTAAGGGATTCAGGCCATTCAGTGAGTTTATATATGACCATTCAAATGTGCATATTTAAATATAGCCTATGCTGCATGAATGGGACACGTAACTTTCTCTTACCTTGTATACATCAGCATACTTGAGCTAAACTCCTACAAAGTCCAACATCCTTTTTTCATTTTAAATAAAGTCTATTGTCATCTCATAGGTATGATGGAAAGTTCTTCTGAAAGTGTCTTTAAAAATTCACATGAAGAAGGGAAACTTTATGCTGTTGATTCACTGAACAACTTAAATGAACACGTTTGTGCAGCTCGAACTCAGCCCCCAAGTATGTATGCTACAAGATATTTTATTAACAGCTTTTCAGGTTTGTGCATGCTGCTTCACTTGATGGCATTTAACAAGACAAATACATTCTCTGAGTGGCTTAGACAACACACAATAGCTAGTTAAGTGGTGCATCTGAACAAGTTCTCACTGATCTCAAAACAATGTTGCTGTTGCGTGCTTATCCCTTCAAGGTTTTTTCTAGTAAAGCAGTAAACTATTATTTGATCCACCAATGAAGTCGTTCCAATGAATGTTTCCTCAAAAGAATAAATAGAATAATGAATTAAACAGGCACAAGAAACCCCTGACCCTCTGGATGATGCTGAATTAGAATTTCCAGTAATACCATTGACCATGCTGGTCAGGGCTGCTGGAAATTGTGGGTCAATAATTTCTGAGAAGCAATGTTTCCCTTCCTGTGAAGAGTACATTTGGATTTACTGAGGCAAAATGAACTAGCAGTGTTATACTTCATAGACGTAGAGGGTATGTGTCATGTTTGCATTATGGGTTAAATCAATATGAATTTTGCATATTTTAAAAAGATTTAATTCAAAGTTCACGCTCTTCTATGGCTGAATCTTTTAGGCTATAGAAATGAAGATTATAATTTTTTAACAATTATTGTTACCTAACAGAATAAAAGTAATGTTACATAAACTTATTTTAAAAGATTACTCAGTATTTATGCCTTACATGTGTTTCAGATCCTATTTGGAAACTATTAAATTTTTTTTTTTAATTCTAAGTCAAATAATCTTTAATTTGCATATTTGTCTCTAATATACACAAAACAATATGGCTATTTTTATCAGCCAAAACTTCCTTGGTGTATATTTCCAAAGGCACTTTGGAAATTAGTTTCTTGATAACAGTCACATTTTGTTTTTCGAACAGATAACTGCCTTCTGTGGTTTGTCTTTCAATTGGAATATAAACAAACAAATAAATACATAAATAAATAAATAACATGAGGCTGAATATTACCAATAAATGCAAAGTATAAACCAGTATATTCTGAATAAATGGATGGGGAAAGGGGCAGTTTCAAGTTTGATGTGCCATCCAACATAATGTTCTCTCATTACTTTTTTCTTTTGCCATTAAAAACTCTCTCATGGACTTTTCCAAAAGTGTGTCTTTCACTGATAGTCATTGAGCAGGGGTATCAAAGCAGGTGCCAGGAAGGCAGTTTGGCCCAAGATTCAAGCTTAAAAGATGACTCTTATTTTATTTTATTTATAATTTTATTTTTGGAAAAATGTTTCAGATCTTTTCTAGTGCCTTGTTTAGTTTTTTTTGGGGGGGGGGGTTGGTGTGTGTTTCATGTTTAATTTTTATTATGGGCCTCAAAAGGTAGAAGTAGCCTAAGACTTCTGATGAGGTCATGGCGAACTGAAGATGTCCCTGAAAAATGGGGATATAATGGCTGAAATTCGCAGCTAGATGCAGGATCTGGGCCAGTAAAATCTCTCCAGAGAAAGAAGAGAACTTGAGATCACCCATATGCGCTCCAGACCGCTACACCTCATGAGTAAACCACAGGAATTGATGTTTTTGCACTCAGCTGGTAAATGGAGGGGCTGGGAGTCGAGGGATTCCATCTAAGCTCATAGTTGTAATGTAGCTTTTTTGGACTCAGAGTTTGGCTGATCCTCTTTTCTTAATCACTTTGGAATTAATTTTTTATTGCTTTTTAAATATTGAGAATCTCAGAATTCAAGTATTATGGTATTCACTGGGTGAGTTTTCTTCAGTCCTTTATGAAAGAAGTTTTAAGTATGAATTTAAGGATTTATAACATTTTTTTTTTTTTGGAATTAACAGCAAAAGAGTGATTAGAGTGTTGTTTTTAGAAAGTTATAAATGGACTAAGGGTCCAGAAGGATTTATATAAATGGATTTAAATCAAAGAATCCTTCCTATGGGAAACTAGCCATGTTTTTACATTCAGAAGAAAAACAAAATGATAAGATGGGACTTTGAAGGCTGGACACTAGAGAGCACCACAAATAAATAAAACAATGGATGTATTAGAGATATGCATGAACAAATGACTCAGAAGCTACTTTTAAGGATTTCTGCCATTATTGATAGACTAGATGTTGCTGTGGAAGAAGAACAAGTTGTACTGGACAAGAAGGAAAATGATTCAAATCTGGACTTAGAAATGACAGACTACAAAAAGAATATGGAACAAGATGAAACACTGAATTTACAAACAAAACTGGTTGTTTTAATTACTAAAAAAGACATACAAATAATGCACCTGAAGAGTGACTTGGATAGCCTTTTTATATTGGAACTACAAAAGGCTGTGGTTAATGTCAGTGACCTTGTGAGAAGAGACCAAGAGAAAATGAAAAGAAACCATGTGTTGGGATATTATTTGAAGGGACCTAAGACCAAGATTGTTGGGAGTAGGGGGGGAAAATATAAGTGGGTTTATTTGACCAAGGTTAAAATAGATAGGTTGCTATTTCTGGCAACTTTTCATGGATTTTTTTCTGACTAGGACTGGAAGATCATGTTTTAAGGTTTTGTTTTATAGACAAGAGTTATATGGGGAAGAGCTTATTCCTTGTTTTAAACTTACCTGATTAAGGTTCAAATACTTATATTGTTATCTCTATAACTTTTATTAGGTTTTTGCTGATTGTATTTGAAAGATGAGGTTTGAGGGATTTCTTTAAAAATAGAAAATGAGATATAAATCTAAAAGGAAGGAATTCAAGTGGGTTTATTAGATTAAGTTTGTAATAGATAATGTGGTTATTTCTGGCAACCCTTAATGGATGTTTGCTAATTAGGATTAGGATTGAGGATGAAGCTTTAAAGATTTCTTTATAGAGAATGAGGTGAGATATGGGGTGAAGAAACTGTATTTCAAGAGATGGTGATAAGTTGTTAAAATTGTTTATACTTGCTGGGATGGAGAGGGAAGCTACCGTATTTTTCCATCAATAAGATGCCCCCATGTACAAGACGACCCCCACTTTTCCAACCCAA